TCCATTCACGGTGAAGAACCAACCCTGTTCTGACCCGCTCTGTCAGAGGGAGAGGCCGCCTGGGTTCACAGGCTGCTCGCCCATTAACCTGAGACACTAGAGAAAGGGGTGGCAAACATACGGGGCGCGGACCACAAGGGGATCCAAAGAAAAAAAGAGCACAAAGACTTCTGGGTTACGTTACTTCTCAGGAACAGTACTTCCTGTTTAAGTTCCGTTTCATCATCAACTGGCGAAGAACAAATTCTATTTATTCAATTAGAAGTTTGTTTCAGCAAAAAAAAAAAAAAAAAAAAATCCATGACAACGTGAGAAAAAATCAACTTTCACCGAGAACAAAAGCGTTTTGTTCAGCTGTGTGGAACCTCACCTTCGGTACCGATTGATCCCGTCTCCCTGTAACCGGATCACCGTCAACAACCTCCACTCCTTCAGCCGCTCACGTGGTTCCTGCCTCCTCAGCGCCTGCAGTTAAAGGAGCAGCATCCATTATTGATCAGCTATCATCACATGTCCTTATTGAGTAATAAACAGTCAAACACAGACAGTCGGTGCATTAGTGGCAGCAGCAGCGCCACACGCTGACAGCCAAGGCCTATCAGTCACCATCACTCCCAGAGTGACCAGACTGATTATAGGTTATTATTAAGCTGTATTGATTACTGCCGGGGGGAGGAGGGGGAGGGGGGGGGAGTGTACAGGGGGGGGGCTTTTACAGCTCCCTGCACTGCAACTGTACTGTACTGTACTGTACTGTACTGTACTGTACTGTACTGTACTGTACTGCACTGCAGCATTAAACCACAGTGAATAGTTAAAAGTACACCAAGCACATACTGTACAGCAGCGGTCCACGACCTTTTGTACCACGGACCGGTCTGGTACCGCAGACCAGTTGTTGAATTACCATTAACAATCGTTAGATTTTTCAAAACAAAACATTTTTGGACTTGTGTTAGTGCAGTTTCAGTGAATTTATTTCATCATCAGATCATCTTTAAATGAAGAGTGAGTGGATTCTCTTCATAAATAAAATACTTTTTTTTTTTTTTTTACGGCGGACCGATACCAAATTATCTGTGGACCGGTACCAGTCTGCGGACCAGGGGTTGGGGATCCCTGCTGTACAGTACAGTAGGTTAAAACAGTCCATGAATCTGAGAAGATTCATCAGACAAAAAATGTAAACACACGTGGACACCTGTCCACTCATCACGGCCTTGATCCGTGGGTTGTTATTTGGACAGACTGCTGGGAGACAGTTCTAGTTCCACTGAACCATCAACTTCCAGCCTGTCTCTGTGGGTGCTTCAACCTCGGGCCCGCGGCCCTGGATTGTGTCAGAACAGCCTGACTGAGACCAGGACAGTCACATAGTCAGATGGTTCCACAGGTTCTACCAGGTTCTACCAGACCTGGTCCAGATCAACAGTCAGGACTGAAAGACACCGACTCTGTGAAGAGACACTTTCACTCTGACTGGTGGACATTTTTATGGACGTTTGTCCACATTAATAATCCCATCATTTGGATTAGTCACAGATGACAACAGGTGAGAAACACTGACCTCTACCTGCTGGTGTCTGAACCAGAAATTTACAAAAAAAAAATAATTTTTTTTTCATATTTAAAAATGTTGATTAATCATAATTAATCGTGATTAATTTGAATCGTCTGACGGCCCTATCATCAAATATAACGTTTTCTCTTGGCTGAAGAATTCATGGTTCCCGTTAAATTCCGTCAGTGGTTTTCAGCCTTTATCGTCACAATAATTACGTCTGTCCTGTTATTAAATAAACTTCCAGAGCGGTAGAATGTCAGAGCCACCCCAAACACACCACTTTTGGGGGCAGAGGGAACAACTCATGGGCTTTGGAAAACCATGTGGGTAACCTAGCCTGTACCACTCTGTCCACACACACACACACACACACACTCACACTCACACACACACACTTCATTCTTTCCACCAAACCAACCATTATGCCCATCCTGCCCACAGCTTCAGAGTCCTCAGGTCCATAGAAACGTACTTAGTTGTGGTTGAAGGAGCACTTACATCCACTCAGCGCGCTGCCATTCCCTGCCCAAAATGATGCCGTTCTGGTGGGGGATCTTCTTTTACGAACTTCCTGCGATCATCCATCAGCCCGCTAAAGAGAAGTAGATGGATATGGATATGGCCGCAGTCTCTAACCTCAAGAAAAGCCCTAATGCAAAGGGGCCTTTCTGGACCCACTCCTTGGCCACCAGTGCAGAGAAGTGATGCCATCAATTATTAAAACCCCGTTGGGTTGAATATTTAATGGTGGTGACATGTAATTTACACTCATACACTGGAGAAATGACCAGGTCCAGACCAAAATACAAATCAAGTACATTTCTACCCAGGAATGTGGGACGTGTCACATGAGCCCCACCTACTGGGCTCCGGTTGCACCAATAATCAGTCGAAGTCCGGATCAATGCACTTGATTTGACTCATGTTGGAGAACCTTAAAGAACCTGATGTATCATCAACACCACCCCCCCCCCCCCCCAGTGTAGTAAAAATAAACCCTTTTCTTCTGACTCTCACGGTGGCGTTGGCTCCACGGTGAGAGGAACATGTTTATCTCCTCCACGATCCTGCGTCTGATGGAAGTCTCATGTGCCGCGTTCCATTTATAACCACGGAGCCTCTGAGCTCAATTATAGTTTAATAAATGTCGGACATGTCGAGCGGTAACATGTGGCCGGACACTACAGTAAAGATCCTGACCAGGATTTCATCACGTCTCCACATCCACTGCACGCTCCGTTAAACTAGCCTAATATCGCATGGCAGCGTGTAATAAAAAAAGGCCCTTTATTGTACCTCCAGCCGTCCGAAGAAAAAAACAGCTGTCTGTTGAAAAGCAGCGACGTCGGCCAATGAGACGTCAGCGTGCTGCCGACACTCCGCTCCGCTCCGCTCCGTCGACCTGAACGTTGGCAGAAACTTAGCGATTTATAAACGAGGTGGTAAACTTTGAGTTAACACCTTTCGGGGGTTACGGACCATGTGAACATGTGTTGTGAATTGGGGGTGGGGGGGGTGGGTCATCTGTTGACGCTGAAAACATTTAAC